ACCCAACTTGACTTCAACCACGCAATTGGCTTTGATAATTGGAGTAGGGGTAATGAGTGACAATGTGCCAGTTCCTAGCTGAGGGTTAAAGAAGCTGGCAAATTTCCACCAGCCCTATTAAGCATCTGCCCTCTGTAATGAGAAAAATATGCCCCAGGCAGCTGTTGCTCCTTAAGCTTGGGTTTTGGAATGAAAGAACAGGGAATAGACCTGGATCCGATGTAGCCCCGCTAAGCTCAGCTACGATGAGCCGAACTTCAACCCACAAGCTTGAAATACTTGTTGCTGCAAGCTGACGAGATTTGTTTGTTTGTTATACAACATTCTCACAGAAAAATCCTCGCTAATACAGCTAGCAAACAGGAAAAAAGGGAGATTACTCGCTGTAGCTTATCAATTATTGAGAATTTTGATTACGTCGTAGGATGTATCACTATGATTTTATCTGTTTACTCTGCATATGCACTTTTACCAAGACTTTTTTTTTTTTTTCCATTTTCAGTATGTTTCTGTGATGGTACATGCAAGTAAGCTTCATTATTGTACCACTCCGCTAGGTTGACACTGACACTCATCTTCTGTAATAAGTGAAGATATCCACCTCAACAGGATCATCTAATGGGAATGACAAGTTTACCAGATATTACGAAGAAAGAAGAGGAAGTGCGGCACCAAAGGAAAGAGTACGTTAAATAGGCATTTTGTAATTTGTTTAGAGCTAAGATAATTACCTTGTTTTTCTAACTAAAAAACCATAGGTGTTTCAATCTGCCTAACTCCACTAGCTTCTGCTTTTCAGTCTACCTAACTTCATCAGTGTCTGTTATCTCGATTCTGTGGGCAGCTCTGAGAACTAGTCCCATTGGTCCTGTTATCTGTTCATTTACAGTCATCTTGTTGAGGTCACAGATAAGTACCCAACTCATTAGGCGCTGACCCCTACTGGAGTAATCATCATAAACCACCATGAGCTCTTCCTAGTTCAATTGATGTGTAAACTATTTAAGGACAAGATGAAATGAACAGGAAAGATTTTCTGGTTTAGTTTAATTGCTTCTCAGGTGGCCTCTCATTTACCAAGCTCTGCTACAAGTAAGAACCAGAACTACCCTAGTGAAACTAATATAAAAGACCCGAGAACTTTGGGGAATACAGCTTGATTCCACAGATCCCAGGGAACCTGCCTTGCCAGATTGAAAGACTCTTTCTGTCTCCTTAGTGTGCTGGTGGTGGGGCTTCTTTCCTTTGCATATGCACGACTTAAAATTGCATTCTCTTTAGATTTAATGAGTAGATTACACTGTCCACAAATTCCTTGCTCTTTAAACTATGAAAAATGATGGTTACCTTAAACATGTGTCCAGTTGTCTCTATTGGGATGTCTTCACTGGGATGTATTTTGAGGACATAAGATGGTTAAGAAACTGCAATAAAAGTACAGCAGGGTGGATGAAGCAAGACTGGCAGAAAGCTGATGGTTGCTGAGGCAACGTGGTGCTTCCTTGTACTATTTTCTCTACTTTTGTGTGCTTGAAATTTTTCATAATAAAAATGAAAAATTTTTAAGTCTGCAGTATATCAACTCAGATTTGAACCCAAATCTTATTTTGGGATTTGCTTTGTGTCTCTATTGGATTTTTTTCTTAAATGAGAGAATGGCTGTCAGGAGACCGCATTTCACAGAGCACGTTGGAGCCCCGTGTTCTTCAGCTTTTGCTGTCTTATCAAACCATGGAGCAACTGGCTTGGGATTTGCAAGGTCTGACTGTCAGATGTTTAGGTAAAATGCACTTGCCTTTTAGGTTTCTTTGTTGTCATCTTTCAATAATCTTCCTTTCTTGCCTTGGGTGTGGATGGAGTCCAATAGAAATGGTGCCCCCATGCTGTGCAGAATGAAGGCTCTGATAAGCTGCAAAATCTATCTGCCCTCGCTTGCCCAAGTTCTGCCTCTGATGATGATCTTGGGGCCAGAACCTGAATCCAAACCTCGCCCAGTTCTTGACCAGCCCAGACTAGGACATGTTGTGTCTCAGGAAGTTGGGCCTCAATAATAGGCGTGGTCTTGCCCTCCTTCATATTGTGTCTAGTATTAAGTGGGTTGGGGAGTTGGGAGCCTGTGAAACTCTGTGCCCACCTGTAGCCCTCACCTGTTTGCCCAGATCATGTCTGGCTTCTTCATTGGATCTGATTGAGAACAGAACTGTGACCTTATTCCCAGCCATCTTTGTGGGGGCTCTGATTCCTTACTTGTTTATGCTACGTCTCTCTCCAACACAAGGATTTAGAGCCCAGATTCTTAAATAGGGGGCAGGATCTTCAGTCTTGCTCTCCTCCCACTCACTGAATTAGAACCCTGTGGCCTGAGTTTACTGCATCTCTTTGAACAACACTTTGGATTTTGGCCACATGCTCAAGAGTTAGACCTCCTGTAGGTGAATTCTCATCATCCTGGCCCCGCTTGTCTCATGGCCAGGTTCCTAAATGATGGCAATCTCTTCCCCTTGTTCTCATGAGCACAGCTGAAACATGCTGCAATTTTCTATGGGGCTTTTAAGAAAAGCACAAGTGAAAATACATTTAAAATTCAAAAAAACAGAAGAGTGACACCTTCAAAGTCCAAATTTTTGACCCTAAAACTGCTAATTTGCTTACTTAGTTATTTGCTTATTTGGTTTAGATGTCCAAGTCGGGAACACATCTGGACTAGGGACATCTCCTAGACTTGATTGCACAGAGCTTTCAAAATTTCTGGGTTGCTTGCAAGCAGTGAGGCAGTCTGCCACACTGGGAAAGCACAGGTTTTGGATTTTGGCAAACAAGGGTCCAAATCCTTAGCTGTGTGGCCTTGGCCAGATTGCTTAACCTATCTGGGCCTCAATTTCTTCATCTGAAAAATAAGGATGAATAACAAGCATTGGTGAGGATATGGAGAAAAGATAACACTTGTGCAGTCTTGGTGGGAATGTAAATTGGTGCAGCCACTATGGAAAGCAGTATGGAGGTTCCTCAAAAAGCTAAAAATAGAACCATCATATGATCCAACAATTCTACTTCTGGGTATTTATCTGAAGAAAATTAAAACACTAACTCAAAAAGTTATGCACATCCCCAAGTTCATTGCAGCATTATTTACAAAAGCCAAGATATCGAAACAACACAAGTGTTTATCAATGGATGAATGGGTAAAGAAGATGTAGTATATGTATAATGGAATATTATTCAGCTGTAGGAAAGAATGAAGTCTTACCGTTTGTGACAACATGGATGGACCTTGAGGGCATGATGCTAAGCGAAATAAGTCAGACAGAGAAATGTACATATTGTATGATCTCACATGTAGAACTTAAAACAAACAAACAAACAAACAAAAACCCCCAAGCTCATAGACACAGAGAACAGATTTGGTGATTGCCGGAGGTGGGCGGTGGGGTAGATGGATGAAATGGGTGAAGGGATCAAAAGGTATAAACTTCCAGTTATAGAATAAACAAGTCCTGGGGATGTCATGTACAGCATAGTGACTATGGTTAATAATACTGTATTGCACATTTGAGAGTTGGTAAGAGAGTAGATATTTTTTGAGATCCTTTTCATAAGAAAAAAAAGAAAAACAACTTTTGTAGGTATATATAGTGACAGATGTTAACTAGACTTCTCAGGGTGCTCATTTTGCAATGTACAAATCTCAAATCACTATGTTGTACACCTGAAACTAATATAATGTAATATGTCAATTATTCCTCAACAACAAAAAAGTTAAATTAAAAAGTGAAAAGCAGGGATAAAAACCCCTACTTGGTAAGGTTGACCTGAGGATTAGATGAATGTGGGTCCCACGGTGCCTGGCAGATTATATAACCTCACTGAGGGGCGGCTGCAATTCCTCTTTACCCTCTCAGGTCCAGAAAGCCCTAGGCGTTCAGGTCGAATAGGTGAAGCACAGGTCCTCCGAAGTGCTGCGGGCCTTACAGCGTGTGGGTCCCGTCAACGTGGAAGAAAGAGTGCAGAGCCAAGGGCCTTGCTCCTCTCCACCAGGGGCGGTGTCAAGGGCGGTCTCTCCACGAAGAGATAGTCTAAGCTTTTGCGGAGGTTTCAGGGGGTTGTCGAACCTGAAAATGCTGTGCACGGTATTGTCTGTGTGCCTGTGAACATTTTCTGGGAAGATAGTCCCGAGCTTTTATCAGATACTTGGATAAGTCTATTTTCTTTTCTTTATTCATTCAACAAACATTTTTGAGTGTTTATTATGACCTAGGTGTAAAAGTACAGCAGGGAGTAAAAAATGACAAAATCTCCTGCCTCTATAGAGTTTAATTTCTAGTGAATTTTAACATTCCTGAGAATCACTCATGGAAGCAATCCGAGAAGCCCAGGGAGTAGGGTCTAACTGTTCCCATAGCTCTCTTTTGGTTGCACTGAGTTATAGATTCCATGTCTCTAGTTAGGTCAAACGTTTTCTGCAGTGGCCATCTATATTTGACATTGTGGAAACCAGTGGAAAGGGTTAATGAAATTTTACTGATTATATTCGAACCCAGCAAACTTCCTCTTAGTGCCCTACTGTGGGACTGCAGGAACAAAGGGAAGCTGTTAACAATGTAGCAAAGTGGAAAACAGACGCCAAACTAAACAGGAAACTCTGGCGTTGTGGCCTCAGAGGGAACTGTGTGGGAATCTTCCGCTGCCTAGCTGTGACAGACTGGACAAGACGCACAAGTTCTGGGGAAACAGCATCATCTTGACACTCATCTTGCAGGGTCATCATGAGTGTTAAATGACAGGAAATGTCAGTTCTCCACGTCTAAGATGATGGTTCCTAGACTGGTGGGACCGTGGACCGGTAAACTTAAAACACACACACATGCACACATACATATGCACACACACACATTTTTTTTTTTTTATATTGACAAAGACTTGCCAAATTTTAATTTTTTTACATATCAAGAGACTTATAAAAAACAAATAAGCTACAATAAAACTACGTACATACTCATATACACACATACGACTATCAATTACTTTAATTTAATAAATGATAGTTAAAAAAACAGGAAGTTTTAATCTAAGCATAAAGGAGAGTCCTTTAAACTGAATAAATTTAGCTTTGTTAAAAATTCATTATTTTTCCTCATTTCACTTGTGAGAGCGTCATGGTCCCTTTGCTTCCTCTTTTGAGTCTCCCAGTCCTGTACGACAGAAGAGCAGCACGATGACTTTCAGCCGTGCTCCCAAGCGCAGGCCTGAGGCTCAGTGGGGAGAGCTGTCAGGCTCCAGGTCCTCTCTCCCGGGCTCCCCCGAGGGTCCTGGGCAGCAGGGGCATGCAGTCCCTGCTCCAGCCACTGGTCCTGTCTTTCCTCTGGACCAACAGGAGGGAGGCATCAGCTTGAAGGAAGGCAGGACTTTGCAGACAGACGAAACTGAGCCACCTCACAGACGTAGCAGAAGCTGGACGGCCAGCCACCTGAGAGGGTCTGCTCCCTTTTCCAATAGCGCCTTCCAGGAGCTGAGGCTCATATCCTGCCGCATCTTCCTGTTTCCCTGGGAAAAAGATGACCAAGCCCTTCGTTTGAACTCACATTCCACAGTGAATAGGAAAGCGCTTGGGGTTTAGAATCCAACAGACCTGGACTAGAATCACAGCTCAAACCACGTTAATATGGACACAGTGTTTAATCTTTTCCAGCCCTGCGCATTTATAAAATGAGGACGGTGATTAAAACCTCCTACTGTGATTGAGCATTAAAAAAGGTAGTATGTGTATGTAAAGTCAGGATGTCATTCTCCCAGGGCAGCTGCGTGCAGTCGTGCACATCGCACATTGCTCAAGGGTGCTAGTCCAGGGGGCAAACAGGGACAGAAATCCAGCCAGTGCTCACCGATCCCAAGTCTTATGCCCTGACAGGGGCTGCAGCCTGGGATGAAGAGGTGCCTCGTAGTAATCTGAGTACCCAGACTGGACACCTTTTCCTAAGTCTTAGAAAGGCTCTGAATGCTGCCGGCAGACCCTGCCTTCTATCCATGCCCTCCTTTTGGTCATTTCCCCTTCAATGAACATGGGTCGTAAAATCTACTACACTAAGTCACTCACAATGCTGCTCAGTCCCCATGGACTGGATGGCAACTGCTTTTAAGCAGATGAGAGGAGGAAGATTTCTTGTTTCCTCCAGGCCCTTGACAAGGACTGGTTCTGTCTCTAAATGAAATACCCTTTAAATTGCCCTGAAATTGCATCACTTGTCTCAGTTAAGTGGAATCCTATGGACTATAAATCTGGCTTGAAAAGGCTCAATTTGACTAAGATGCTACAAAGGGTTTACCACAATTTAAAGCATTTGTCTATGGAAAATCAATTATGGCCCATTCCCTGTCACTGATGGTGGGAGTGTTCTCATTTTCAGACGGCAAATGTGCACAAGCACGTGTGCACACACACATGCATTCGGGGTGCATGGACTCTTGCATTGCAGGAATTCGATATAGCTTAAGTTGGCTTATTGATTAATGATAAGCAAGCTATCAATTGCAGCCATTTCAACACATTTGGCTCAATGTTTCTGGAATACTGGGTCCTACATTCCAGCCAGCGACCAGCTTTCACCTTCCTATTTGCAGTTAGTGGAAAGAAGAAAAGTGCTCTCCATCGCAGGTCCCTCAGTTTCCATTACCCTCCAGTAACATGGGTAGAAGGCTGCCCAACTGGGTGAAAGAAAGCTCTAGTCCCAGTATCAAGGCCAATTATCAACTTGCCAAAAGCTCAATGTGCTAGAGAGAGAAGCAGGTCTCCACATGCAGTGATTTCCCCAGGCTGTTTCCGGCTGGAACCTAATTATGATGAAGGGTTGAGAGGATCAAACCATGAAGGAAATGGATGGGGAACTCTCGCGAGACTGTACCACTCTAGCGCGGTGAATCCTGCACTATAGATTCTCAGGTGTTTGTGACAGGCACTGGACAGGCCCGGGGCGGGGAGACCAGGCGTGAGTTACAGATCTGGCAGGTGCAGGTGGGGCTTTTTGCAGAAAATGAAGTGGTAGGGGGTGCTCTGCATGGGAACCCAAACCGAAAGAGACAGGAATCCGCACTAATATGGGAAACTAGTTGCAAGGAGGGGCAGCTGGCCATGGTAGAGTAGTAGTAATGATACTGATAATACAGTGACAAGAATAACAAGTGACATTTATCGAACACCTACTATGTGTCAGGAGTGTTCTAAACACTTGCCACGTATTATCTGATTTAACTGTCACAATTTTTCAGGTAGGCACAATTATTGTTCTCAAGCTAAGGACACATAGCTAAGTAACTAATGAAGATGGGATTATAATTGAAGGTTGTTCTCTTAATCATTATTACACGTGGTGGCCTTCAAAGGCACTCAATGAAAAATGAAAGCAGCGGTCAGGAGTATTAGGATTCATAACCTGGCAGCAGGAGGCAGAGAACGAAGCAGGGGTCCTCCTCCCCCACCCCACCCCCGAACATGCTCAAATATTGCAGAGCTGAGGAGCAGGAGAAGACAAGGATGCACAAAGTTCAGAAAGGAGGGCCATGAGACCCCACTCTCCTCCTTCCTCAAGTGGAAACAACTTCAGGAATTTGGGCCACTCTACTTAAGTCTTCAGATTAAAGAGGAGGCTCTTTTGCAGAGCCTTCTGGTGGCTGGCGGTGCCTTCTGCCTAGAAGACTTCTTTTCCCCTGGAGACCTAAGGTGCTGGATAGGGTGAGTGTGGGGAGGGAGCAGGAAACTGGCTGGCTACTCAGGGGTCTTCTGGGCTTTGGGTTTTAACTCAGAGAAGAGACCCTGAGGCTCCCTCTGAAGCTGTCCAGGGGGAGAGTTGGCACATGGACACAAGGAGAATGAATTTGAGTGACAGCTTAGAGGGTGCAGAAGCCAGCAGAGAGGTGAATCCAAAGAAGTGTGATGTCATAGCGTGGTAGTACATTTTCTGCTTCTTGGAATGCATGGGAGGTAGAGATGGAACATGGGAAGCATCTTGCATTGCATTTGTCTAAGTCAGAATTCTGGCCATCTCTTAAGAGGTCCTGGAGTAAGAGAGCTCTTTCACGAAATCCTGGGTGTGCTTAGGACCTGTGTCTTGCATGGCCTAATGGAGCTTTTAGAGATGGCAAGAGCAGAGCAGAAGTGAGCTGTCAGCCTCAGGATGCCAAATGACAGAGGGCCACTTCCCCACCTAGAGTGGACCTCACAACCTCCGTGGGTGATCTTTCCTGGTTTATTCTTAGAGCAGGTATTATTACAGGTTCTGATTTCCACTGGGGCGAATCTGACTGGTAGGTCCTTAAAGAGTGTCAGAGAAGGAAAGAAAAAGAAACCATCTTAGATCCAGACCAGCAGTTCCCAGGGCTGGAGGGAGTGGGGAGGTTGGCTCTGGAAAATAACAAAGGGAGATTCAGGATGGGTAATTTCAAGTTCCAAGCTTCAAAACCTGAGATTGATAAATACTGCTGACAACAGCAAAGAGAGAATGTATGGCCAGAAATAGGAGGAAAAGCCAAAGTCAGATGTAGGGTATGCACAGAAGGAAGCAAAACCAAAACAATAGCATAAACGGCTGGCCTGGAAAGCCCAATGATTCACAAGGTTATCAACTGACACTCCCTCCCTTCCATCCCTTCGCTGGGGGCATAGCCCGGCCCCTCCCTGCAGAGGATTGACAGAAGGCCCTTAAGACCATAGAGAAGCAGAGGCAAAACTCCAGAAGTAAATTCTACAATTATCACTCATTTCAAAGAAACAATCAGGGAACCACAAACGACGAGGAGATTGTGGAGCGCTGGGAATGTGCACTTTGGTTCCTCAGCTCTGTCCTCCCAGTGCCACCTGGCAGCCAGGACTCAGCCTGCACAATAGAGTCAAGGAACCCAAAAGGATCTGCTTGAGAGGAGACACATGCAATACTCTTTCCATTTAGCTCGGAATCTTGCACTCCCATAATTCCCCAATCCTCAGTGTCCCCTCCTAAGAGGGTCCCCCCCACCGCAGTGCTCTGAAAGGATCAAGGGACTGAAGTGAGGAGAGGGCAGTCCTCACAGAGGCTGCTCGGAGCGATTGACTGACATAGCATTTGTAACATTGGAAGAGAAGGTTTTTAATGGCATGAAAATGTCTTTAATCACTGGAGCTCAACGGCGCGCAGTGCAGGTTCAAGGTGATCGAAATGCTCTTGTTCTGCATCTGCATTTTCATCTCACTCAGATTAATTCATATTTTAATTGCTTCTCTCTCTGATTGAAGTACCAGAAAGGAGCACTTTCATTTCTTTGATCTCACACTCTCCCAGGCACGGCCAAGGTCGGGCACAGGCACGTGCGCCAGCGTGTGGGAGGCTTTCCAGGAAGGGCACCAGGAGGCAGGCGCCCGCTGCGAGCCATGACACTCTGCAGAGGGAGGAAGGGCTGCAGGGTCTGAGCAAAGCTGACCTCCCAGGCCAGAGCCCGGCCCTTGGCTTTTTAAACCAGCGAGGGTCCTCTGCCATGAGGGGAGGTGGTAGAGTTCTCAGAAACAAACAGTCGCTCAGCTCATCGTCCTGAACTGTGTGGTTTGTACTCCTGCTCTGGCTTTGGTTTATATTCAGGCCATGGCGTTAATAAGACTGGAGCCTGTACTGTCTGTCAGCTGGTGGGGTCCCCAAGTCTTCGGGCCCTGACTTGTCACCTGTCGTTTAGTTGGAAAATCAAAACGATTCTCCTGCAAAATCCCTGAGATTCTGAAGCGGCCACATGTCTGTGTCTTGTGGCCCCTCTTGTTCTGATTTCCTGTCCCTTCTCAGGTCTTACCCTAGTAAGTGCTTCCCAGAGAAAACAAATAGGCAGCACCTGCTGCATTTCCCCACTGGGAGGATCCAAGGGTATCCACGTGGAGCCGATCACTGTGGGTTAGTCTCACAGCAAACCCTCCAGAAGGGAGTGTTGGCCAACATGTTTCTGACAGGCCCCCGGGCCATTCCAGCAGCAGGGATTCCTCGCCGGCCAGCTGCTCTCCTGGCTCCACAATGGCATGCCTAGGGGGCAGGTCGCTTCTTGTCTTCTCATCTCAGTTCCCTGGATTGGTTTGCTAGGGCCGCCATAACAAAGTACCACAAACTGGGTGGCTTAAACAGCAGAAATTCATTGTCTCCAGAAGTCTAAGATCAAGCTGTTGGCAGGGCCATGCTCCCCCTAAAGCCTGGAGGGCAGCATCCTTCCTTGCCTCTTGCTAGCTTCTCGTGATGGCCATCTGACGGCTGGTGGTCAATCCTTGGTTTTCATTGGCTTGCAGCTGTGTCACTGCCATCTCTGCCTCTGTCATCACATGGTGTCCTCTTGCATGTCTCCTCTGGCTTCACATGGCCATCTTTCCTCTGCGTATGTCTGTGTGCCCCAATTTCTCTTGCCTTATAAGGACACCAGTCATTGGGTTAGAGCCCACTCTAATCCAATACGACTTCTTAAATGGATTCATCTGCAAAGACCTTACTTCCAAATAAGGCCATAGGCACAAGTCCTGGGGATTAGGCCCTGAACATACCTCTTTGGGGACACAGCATTTCCTCATTTCTGGAAACTTTGAATTCGCCTTTCCTTATTGGGCTGACAAGTTCAGTGTTCTTTGTTTGTGCTCTAACCCAGTAGAGCCATATGGACTACGGGATAGAGGAAGGGAAGAGAAAAGGGACAGGTGGCAGAAAACAGGAGGGGTCTTCCCCACTGACATCCAAAGAAGGCATCAAAGTATTTTCCCAAACAAAATCACTTCTCTCCCTAAGATGATTCTGTCCAGTCTGTTAACATAAGTATGTCTTCTCGCACGTCAATAGGCATTACTTCTCAATGAGCACTCACCCTTTGGGAGACATTTTTCATTTTTTTAAATTCTTGTATTTCTCCCCACAACTCTGAGAGTCAGGTCTTATCATTTTCTTTTCAAAGATTAGAGACTGAGGCTGAGGGATGCCCGACATCATGCAGCTGATAAGTGACAAAGCCAGGGATGGAATTCATGGCTCCCTGATAACAAAGCCAGTCTTTCCAACATTCAATTGGTTCCAGTTCCCTCACCCCTCGGTCGACCCCGTCCTTCCCCAGCACTGCCACCCTCTGACTCTCTGCTCGGCCCCTCCTGGTTTTAGATCACACACACTGCAATGACTGCCTGCATTAGTTCCCTGCGGCTACTGTAACAAATTGCCACTGGGTGGCTTAAAACAACACATGTCTATTCTCTTAGAGCTCTGGAGGCCAAATTCTGAAATCAGTTTCGCTGTGTCAAAACCCAGATGTTGTCAGGGCCGTGCTCCCACTGAAGGCTCTAGAGGAGGATCCATTCCTTGCCCTTTCCTCTAGCTGCCAGCTTTTCTTGGCTTGTGGCCACATCACTCCATCTCTGCCTCTGTGGTCTCTTTGCCTTCTCCTCTTCTTGTGTGTGTGTACGTGTCAAATCTCTCTCCGCTTCCCTTTTATAAGGATACGTACGATCGCATTTAGAGCCCACCAAATAATCCAACATAATCTCCCCATTTCAAGCCCTCTAGTTTATGCACATCTGCAATGATTTTTGCCATATAAGAAACACTCGTGGGTGCTGGGGATTAGGACATGGACACACCTTTGGGGGTCATGATTTCGCCTACCAACCCGCCCTTTCTGGCTGTCTCCTGACTGCCCTTCCTTTAGCTGTGGCTTGTAGGCACCGGGTTTCTTGCTCTCCTGGCTCCTTCTAGGAGCAGAGGTTGGATGGGCAGGAGGGAAGGAGGGGTTCCTGTGTGTGGTCTGCTGAGAAGACTGCCGTGGTAGACCACTCTAACCAGGCACCAGGGAGCTCTCTCAGTCTGGGCTTTATAAAATGGTTGTAATAATGCTTGTTTGAAAAGGGGCTGGAGGTCCCCTGCCGAGGATGAAAGTGTAGGCTGTTTGGGATGGTAGATAGCTGCTTTGAGCCTCCAAGATCTCATAAAATGGAGGTCTTGCAGAGTTGAGATGAGGAAATTATTGTCGTATTGGGGAAAAGAATTCTTCAGAGTGAGGAGGAGGAGGGCGGATGCCCGCTCATGACCAATGACAAGACTGAATATTGTGGCTGCTACTACAGGAGGGGGAATTAGCACCTCTCCACTTGCAACCTTACGGATGACAGTCATCATTGCAAATTGGTCACAAGTGCCTGGGTTAATAAGTCCCCAAACATTCATCAAGCTTTTCTGCAGCAATACCTGATGTGGAAACCTTTCTGTCACAAGCAGTTTCATAGTAAGCTGATTTTATCCACATTAGCCTCAAAGCACAAAGCTTTTTTGCTTTGAACATTTTGGGGTATGTGGTACCCTGAGACCAACAAACAAAGGTCAATGCCCGCTTTCTCAATATGAGGCTCTGGATGCAAGAATGCATTTGGGATGCTTGATGTGGGCTGACAGCTGCTACAGTGCTACTTTGCTCCCTAACTGCCTTGTATGTGTGCATCTTGTCAGATTAGGTGGGCTGGATTGTCTTGACTTCAACTAAGAGAAAAAAGAAAAGCTGTGAAAGGCCTCTGCGTGGTAGAGGCAGGAGTGTGCCTGTGCTTCTGGTGCTTCTGAGTCCTTGGGAAACACTCACCATGAATAGATGAACAGATCAACGTAATTGTTGATCCACACTGTGACACTTCGGAAAGTGAAGAGGCTTTGCTAATAATTACGTTGAAATTCTAGGCACAAATCTGGACTGTCTCAATTTACCGTCTACCTGTGAGTAACTTGCACTCCACATGGCTGGCCTTGGGCAAAACCGTGAAGTGGATTTGTCGACATTATTCTCTGCCCTCACACTTCTCTTCCCCCTGCCTCATACTCTGAAGCCGTCATTCTGGAGCTTCATGGGAACATTTCCCCACATCTTATTTTATAATTGAGGAAGCTAAGAACTCGGCAAATGGAGACATTTGGTTACACAATAACACGCAGTTTGGGTTAGAACTTGTCTCCTCTCTTCAGGAGAGAACACGGGCTCTTTCCACAGCCGTGACCAGCCAGGGTCCAACACTGCCCGTCTGCCGAGCCCGGCTCAGTTCAGCAATGCCTCTTCTCTCATCTGCCTTCCAATGCTTTGGTGCTCGGTGAGATGACTGCTGGACATCTGATGAGTGAGCAAACCTTTTGGTAACATCGCTCTTTTGGGAATGACTCACATTTTCATAAAGAGCTTCTGTAGACAGTGTCTCCACACAAAAGGATGGATTTCAAGTGTGGGCATTTCACCTACTGGTAGCATGTTTATCAAGGAAAAATTTAGATATAGGAGGACTGCCTGGGGCACACAGATGGGTAATTCCTATTATTATTGTGAAGAAGGGGAGAGCAAAAGAGAAAGCGGAAGAGCGTATCTATGGTGGAGGGAAAGGAGAAAGGGATGGGCACAAGAAATGAAGAAAAAGGAAGAGAAAAGAAGGGAAAAAAGAAGGAAAGGAAGAGAAGAAAGTGAAGCAAAGAGGAGGAGGAGAGGAGAGGGGAGGAGACTAGAGGAGAGGAGAGGCAGAGAGGGGAGGGGTGGAGAGCAGAGGGATGGGGAGGGGAGGGGAGGGGAGAGGAGAGGAGGGATAGGGAGAAGAGGGGAGGGGAGGAGAAAGGAGGGGAGGGGAGGGCACAGGGGAGGATGAGAGGAGAGGAGGGGAGAGGATGGGATCAAGGGGAAGGGATAGAAGGGAAGAAGAGAGGAGGCGAGAGGTGGGAGGGAAAGGAAGGAAAGGTAGGATTTTGGCTTTACCCAGTAGCCCAGTAGAGTGCAGTTCATGCTGAGGTTGACATGCTCTGGAGAGAAAGGCCGTGTTTGGAAGGGAGTACCCACTAAGACAGCAGTGACCATGCTAGAAGTCCAGCACTAGGTACATGTGTGTTGTCGGCTCTGGAAGCTACCTGGGAGCCTCGGAAGCGAATTCCCTTGTGAATAGGGCTCTGAGCTACATAGGTAATGACCCACCATGTTCCCAAGCGAGGTCTCCTGAGCCCACCCCAGGGCTTGTTCCACTCTACTTCACTGTCTGTTTAGTCAGAACAAAATGTAGGAAGGGAGCAAACGAAGCAGCCCCTTCCTGCACCGCTCCGAGCCACCGTGCACGTGGAGTCCCCCATCAAATCAGAACCAAGCAGAGCTCTTCCTGTACGCTCCAGACTCACCACAGAACAAGCCTAGCTCTGACTTTTACATTTCTAACCTCTAAGGATAGGTCATGACGTTTGTGGATATGATAATCATGTCAGAAAACCATTCTCCACCATGAATGGATAACTGTGAAACTGGTAATTTTGTGGGGCTTTATTTTAAGTAACTGTTCTGTTTCTTACTTGAAAAGCCACAAGTTCTTTGCAAGTTACCTTCATGATGCTTGTCTCCGATTCTGACTTGCAAAGTAAGACTCTATCAACCATCATTCCATGCCCAAATAGAAGAAGATATATTTCTGGTGATTTTTCTCTAATCCTGTCACTAGAAGGTCAATAAGCCTCAGCGTCATCCTAAGCTCTTCCCTTTGCAGTAACTTGTCATTCAGCTATGCTGTTCCTCCCCGTCATTTCCAGGTTCCCCCTCACTATCCTGTTTCCCTTGACCGCTCTCTCCTAAGCCTTTGCATAATCCTCCCATTTTTCAGTGAGCAATAACCTTCAGTCTAGTCTTCCTTAGGCTGGCTCCAGTGTTTTCTGCAATCTGCTGCCAAAAGAATATTCCTACAACATTATTCTCATTCCGTCAACACTTCCACTCTCAAAAATTATTGCCTGGAGGAAGCAGTCCAAACTTCTCACCGTGCTATGCCAGGCCTTCGTGATTCAACTTTATCCTCAGTTGGGAAAGGATGGTTACCTTCCCACAAAGTCCGACTTCAGTCCGACTTCACAAGCAAATTGTGAAGCCCCGAGTAATGACCTTCAGGCTCTCCTTGTTTTGGGGTCTTTTAACAACTTACGCTCTGGATTCCTCTTTTTTATCCCATCATTCCTCCTTGACAAGCGCTACTCAAAGTGTAGTCCAGTGTGTAGCAGCATCTCATCACCTGGGAGCTGGGTAAAAATGAAATGCACAGGTTCTATTTCTGACACGTTAAATAAGAATTGCCAGGCCCAGAAGCCTGAACGTTAACAAACTTGCCAGGTAATTGTTATGTACGTTAATATTTGAAGTACACTATTCTAGACCATAATGTCTCCCGACATTGTTTGGCAGCTATTGGATCTGCTGAAGTTATATCATTATTAATTATTTTGTGGCAGAGGGGGTCTAGAACCTGGTGTTCCTAACAGCTCTTATACTGCTTAATCACCTTAACTTTCTCATAGCCCAGTGGGCATTGACCTACTATCTCTAACTCACCATATTGTTCACCTTCCACGGGACTGTGACACCTTACTGTTGTCAAAAGACACACTACGTGCCTTTGAGATCCAAGGGCAGAGACGCCTAAGTATGGAAGCTGCATAGACACTGGCAAATCCAGAATATTCTGTCTGGGCCTTTGTGTATTGACAGGTCTACATATAGACACATCTGGACTACGTGCTCCTTCCATACCCTCTGATTTCTACTCACTTCTAGATTCAATTCTCTGCTCTGGATGTGCTTTCAATTCCCAATTTGTACCAAGTTCTTGCCCTCAGATTAAACTCATTGTTCCTGGTTCAACTTATTTTGGTTTTTATCCTACATTCTTAGTGGAGGTCAGTCAAAGTTGATCTGTTAGGGTTTCCTACATTAGTCAATAACTTCCTAGGACTCCATTTGTCTTGGTCTCATCTTTTATCCTCGACTAGCTCTAGTACATGGACAAGACAATGACAGGTCTCCGTGTTACCACTAAGACACATGATTTCCACCTGCAGAGGGCAACCATCACCATGGCGACCATCACCATGTTTCCTGCTCACTTCCTCTCATACCCCAATTTTGACACCATTGGGTCCTCTAATCTATTGACTTTTCTGTTCTACCGCCATGTGTATTCACTTCATTCCTGGCGCAGCTTAGATCCCATGCTCCATTCTTATCATCCCTCCCTTGCACACATCCTTAACTATCCCCTCTTTTACTTCCCACCATCCTAACTGCCCCCAGCTCAAATTTCAACCTCCCCCCTGTGCCTAGCCACTGAACATAGCCAGAGAAAACCATTCTACAGGGTTGACAGCTTTCCCTTTAAATTTATGACTACATTCTCAAGTTGAACCTCAGCACTGCTCAGGTGTCCTATTAGATTTCCAGAGTCAATTCTCTCACATCCCCTAACCTCTCACACCCTCTCTTCCTCAGAGTGGTTCGGCATCATATTTCACTGACAAAATAGAAGCCATGGGAGCACTGCCTGACCTTGCCACCATGTAATCTACCTGCCCGGCTGCATTTTACACACATTCTCTGCCTTCCCTCTTTACAGAGTGGATGACATGGTCTTGCACTATCTAAGACGAATGTCACCACTTGAACACACTCCCCTCCTGCAATTATCATGTTTTCTTCATTGTTTACTTTCTCCCTCTTTCCAGAGCCATTACTATCAGCTTTTGAAGATATTGTAAGAGCTCACTTCTTTTAAAAAATTCCCTCCCTAGGGCCTAAGTTCTCCTTTGGCTCCCAGCCCAGGTCTCTGCTCCCTTTTACAGACAAACTCCTTAGCAACGCTGTTTCTATTGGCTGTCTCCACTTATCTCTCTCACAGTTTCTCTTCAACTCACAACAATCAGGTTTTTGTCTCTACTGCCCACAGAAACTGTTCTTGCCCAATTCAGCAATGCTCTTCATTGTGCCAGCTCCAGTGGTCACCTCTCTTTGCTCACTTGACTCAAAGTTTTAGCAGCAGCTGCCACAGTTACTCACACCTTCTGTCTGGAATGACTCTCCTCACTGAGATTCTGGATCACTGTGTTCTCCTGCTTCTTCTCCAGCCTCAATGTGGCTCCTTGGTCCTTTAAGTTTCAGCTTTGCAACCGTACTCTGCCTGGAACCCAAAGACTTTGGCTTCCTGGACGCTGCCCGGGGGGTCATGAGACTAACACTGCGTATCACCAGTTGCCTCATTTATTCGTTTTATTGAGATATAATTGACATACAGCATTATATTAGTTTCAGGTGTGCAACATAATGATTCAATATTTGTATACATCACAAAATGATCACCACAATAAATCTGGTTAACATCCATCACCACACATGGTTACAATTATTTTTTCTTGAGATGAGAACTTTTAAGATCTTTAAGATTTACTGTCTTAGCAACTTTCAAATATAAAATATAATATTATTAATTATGGTCACCACACTGTACATTACATCCCCAGGACTTATTTATTTTATAATTGGAGGTTTGTACCTTTTGACTCCCTTCACCCATTTCACCCACCTCCCAGCCCCCACCTCTGGCAATCACCAATCTGTTACTGCTCAATCTTTATCTATGAGTTTGGCATTTTTTTAGATTCCACATATAAGGGAGATCATATAGTGTTTGCCTTTCTCTGTCTGACTTATTTCACTCAGCATAATGCCCTCCAGGTCTAGCCATGTCCTCACAGATGGGAAGGGCAGATGGGCAGGATGGTACTGCGGGGCAGTGCAGTCTCGAAGGCCAGGCTGCCTTTGCTCTGCCTCTCACCTATAGTTTGTAGGGTCTTTTTGCAGATCTCGGCATGACTCTCAGATCTTGTAGTTCGCTCCCTCACTTGATTATGGTCTCTTCTCGAAGCTCGTCTTCTCAGAAATCTTTCCGATCCCCCCATGAGATCAGCACCCTCACTGCTCCACGCCCCTCTCGATCTATTTCATTCTCCTGCTTTGTTGTCTTCACAGCACCTTTACCGCCTTTTGGTGGACAGCTGGTCTCCCCACTCGCCTACTGGAAGCTCCCTGGGGTGTCTGGCTCACAGTACTTGCTCACTGAACGAATGAATAACTGAGTGTGTGGTGGTGGTGGCTATGGTGGCAGCCAGAGGTGGGCATGTGTGTGGTCCCATCTGACTTCATGTCGAGGGACACAGAATTCAGAATACCTTCCCTGTGTCTTTCTTCTCCTTCCACATCTCCAAGACCTGGCACAAGGCAACAGAATGGGTGCTCAGTCAATACTAACTGTGTGAATAAATGAATGAACAGATTTCAGAGAGTCTGTTGGTAGTGACTTTCTATTGCTTTTAGGTACAGTGACAAATTTGACAGGCCCCGTGTCAACATGGATGTTGTGATCAATAAAAATGTTTTCATAGGGAAAATAAAGCAAGATTCCTGACACCAGGACTGCCTCATTGAGTGAGGATGCGGGACTGTAATTTTAAAGATGATCTTTTCTGTCCTGACCCTTCTCTCCCCTCCTCCACACCAGCTTGTCCGGTTTTGGATACATTTGCACATCCTGCCTTAATTTGATTAGCGACAGATGCTATTATCTGAGGAAATCTAAATTGCCTCTTCCTGCGCTAATGAACTACTGTACCAAGTGTGTGGGGATTTGAGAACAAGATAGATTTATTAATGAGCACCTAATTAAAGGGACAGTGACAGAGTTCTTGGGAGGGGTGACGGTGGGGGGAATGTTTCTATTTCTTATAAAGATTGACACTTTTTTATGACAAAATGAAAATGTTTTACATCTTGTTTAAAATTTTAAATGTCACAATTTAGAAACTGAATGTAGAGTTAAGTTTAATTAAATGCAATAGAAGATGACACCCTCCTCCTGGTTGAGGGTGGGGTCTGCAGGCCTTGCTATCACAGCTTTCCCCCAGCCTCCCCCACAACCAGCCCTGCTGATATTTTTTTCCATTTAGCATTGCCCTGAAAAACCAACTCTGAAACAGATTACTTTCTTCCGGACTAAAGTGGAAGGCTGCATTTGAAGCTGGGGAAAGTACTTGGCCCTGTTGTGGACACACAGCACGTGTTAATGACTCCCTGCCCGGACCCTCTGTACACAGTGCCTACTACCCAACAGGGAGCACAGTAAAGAAGATTCCAGAATTGATCCTTGATTCTCCCCATCACACTCCTTCGTGTGAGAATGCAAAATTGGCTGGAAGTAGCTGCGTTTAGACTTTGACAGAGATAGAGATTTGTTGGTCACGTTCAGAAACAGGCATCAATGGCTTGGCTTGCTATTCCAAGCCAATCTGTCATTAAATACCTTGAAGGAAAACTTGATTTTACTGGATGAAAAGCTACCCACTGGGCAGCAGACAGGAAGGTGTAGGCTCCCGTGCAGGAGGGGAGAGAGAGAAGGAGAGAGGTGCTCTGGAAATGACCTGGTGTCCAGAAGCAGAGTCACTCCTGAACTCGGCACAGGCTCTAGTGCTGCTCTTTCGACACCATATCTTGATTTTCTAGCAGCTCCGGAAGTCTTGACACCTGGTACTGACAGCCAGCATCTTTGAGGAGACCACCATGGTGGCCATCATAGGCCCATGATGGCAAACTGGAATGAGGGCTGCTTTTTCAGCCATCTGAGAAGGAAACCCAAGCCTAGAGAGGCTTGACCCCACCAAGGTCACTAGAGTTGCAAAGAAGGAGCAGAGCAGGAAGGTCTGTTAGCATGGGGCAGTGGGCTGCAGTAGAAACAACTGAAATGGGGCTGGAAAAAGACAATGAAGACAACTCACTTACTTTTAAAAGTGATTCTCTAATTTATCTTTAGCATCCCCATTACAGTCAATTGAGAATAAAAGCAGTTTTACATTCTCTTTGCACCTCCACCCATGAGAAGAACGAGGAGGTTGGGTAAAGGAAGAAGCTATCCCTTTCTTTCTGTCAACTAAGGATACTGTTTAAAATGATTGGTTCACTTGCAGAGGCTCTAGAGTTAAATGTCCCTGGAAACATTTTCTTATTCTTTGAAGACATATACAAGAATTTCTCAGAAAATGTTGTGACTTGGATTACAATTTCTGTAACAGGCTCAGAGAACACAAGAGACCTGTTTTCCAGCTGTATGCATGAGAATAATCTCATCCATTCCTATAATCAGTGGTAGTCTATTCCCTGGGATTTTCCCAGTTGGTCTGCTATGTCTTCTTTTATAAAATAAATAGAAGTGCACAGTGAAAGTATCAACTATTTCATGCAGAACCTGGTGGAGGTTTAAAATTAATCTCCTCTTGACAAGAAATCATGGTTGCCTTCTTATGCTGCTACACGGGAGAAGTTACATAGCCTAGAGATGCCATTTTTTTGTTGGGCTTGCGAATAGCAAATACAACTTTGGCATTCAGGGTTTGAAGAAGAGGGAGAATGATAGGGACAAACCTGGCCAGAAGTTCCCCCGGAGAGAGGGACCAGTAGTCCACACAAATGTTTGAAGAGCTACAGTCAGCCCAGGCTTGCAGTAAACAGTGTTCGTATTGATATCTGTTCTTCCGTAGCTGGTGGGCTCTTGAGATAGGGTCCTCCGGGCCTTGTAACTACTTGGGGTGATGTCAGGCAAGAAGCAGTGGCTTGTTTGGGCCAAAAAACTTGGTTTGGGATACAGGCAATAGGCTCATGCTTCCCAGGGGAAGACTGGTAAGAGGTGGGGTAACTGGGGGCGAGCTCGTTTTCAGATCTTTGATATGAGTTTGGGTGGGACTGGAGCAGCCAGGGGCTGATGGGTTTCACGCCTCTAACTCAGGAGGGAGATGCTCCATGGGTCTTGATATGCCATCACATTGCAGATTCAAGGGGGCTGATTCCCACTGCGGAGTGACATACCGAGTGATGAGAAATTTGATTCATCTCAGAAGACAATTTCCTGCTACAGTCTGTGTTGTCCTTTGAGTCAGACCCTTTGTTGGAGGGTGATGAGGTGTGAAGGTAACAGCATGGATAAGGTTTCCTCCCACGGATTTCTAAACTTCAGCGATGCCAGTGCAGAGCTCTGTTGTCAGAGGAGATGGAATCTGTCAAGCATCCCTTTGAGAGCAACTGGCATGGGGCTGCCATTTGTGCAGAAGAGGGTGGGGGTGCAACCAAAGGTGCTCTGGGGGATTTTGAGAAGGTATTGGATGGCTTCTCCAGAAACTGCAGATTTTGGGCTAATCCTCCACTCTGACATCCTGCAAATCCCCAACATGGCAGGGCGGAGACATGACATTTCCCTGCTGCAAAAGACTAGATGTTTTACTGAGCTGTTGACTACAGGTAAGAAATGTAAATCTCCACCCTTTATTGGAGGTTCTGGAGTAAAGAGCCAGATCTTAGAATCAAAGACTGCCAGGACTAGAGCCTTTTAACTCCTACTTTTTCAAAAGTGAGGCCAGAGAGAGAAAATGACTTTGCTAGGAAGACACAGTAATGAGCGGAGGACTTGGGCTGGAATTCAAACTCAACTCCCTGAATATCAGTGAATATTGTTTTTAGTTTTGTTTTTTTCGGAAGAGATAGAGTCTACCATATCACACTGCATCCCATCAAGGACTCCATAACTTCACCAAGTGAGGAAGGTGAAGCCACCATATGGAAGCCCATGTTTGGGTCTCACAGTCAGTCACTTCTCTCCAGGGTCCTAGACTTTCCTTTCTTTGCTTCAAGCTGGCATGATTGCCTCTCAGCTTAGGCAGCCCAAGAAGGAGGCTTTCTGCTCTCACTTTTTTTTTTTTAAAGATTGGCACTTGAGCTAACAACTTGCCAATATTTTTTTTTTTTGCTTTTTCTCCCCAAATCCCCCCAGTACGTAGTTGTGAATTTTTAGTTGTGGGTCCTTCTAGTTGTGGCATGTGGGATGCCGCCTCAACATGGCCTGATGAGTGGTGCCATGCCTGGGCCCAGGATCTGAACCAGTGAAACGCTGGGCCGCCGAAGCAGAGCGTGCGAGCTTAACCACCTGGCCACGGGGTTGGCCCCTCGTCTCACTTTTTCTTTTTTTTTAAAGATTTTATTTTTTCCTTTTTCTCCCCAAAACCCCCCGGTACATAGTTGTATATTCTTCGTTGTGGGTCCTTCTAGTTGTGGTATGTGGGATGCTGCCTCAGCGTGGTTTGATGAGCAGTGCCGTGTCCGCGCCCAGGATTCGAACCAACGAAACACTGGGCCGCCTGCAGTGGAGCGCGCAAACTTAACCACTCGGCCATGGGGCCAGCCCCTGGTCTCACCTTTTTAATGTGCCTCCCATAGCCTCTGTGCTAAGCACAGGGTCCTCTTAAATGTCAGGCTGGAGTTGGGGTTCCGGTGCCTGAAGAGGGGTCTCCTCTGGATGACCCTGCTTGCTCTTGCCCAGTTTTCGCTTTCCGAACAGATGCCCTCCTTGTCATCAGAGGATGCATTGCTGGGATAACAAGAAACAGAAAGCATGATCACCCCTTTCACAACTGCCGTCTGCTGTCACACTCTGCTCCAGAATCAGATAAGAACAAGGACATAAAATAACAAATTCTAACAGAAATCCAAAGGAGGGGTACTGATAACACCCTACAAACCTCCCTGGCACACATGATACTACACAAATCACTGAAGGATAGACAGTTCTAAAAAGTGGAAATGAAAAGGAATGTCTTCGTAGATGTCTTCTCCCCTCTCCCTGATTCTGGCATGTAGAAGAGGTGCACCTTAGTGACTGATTTGAAAACACTTTTGTCATGAAGGTACTAGAGAGGACGGCAGCCAGGATCCCCAAATGTCACCTCATTGGACAGTTACCCCCTCTGCTTCTTTTTAAGGTTGTCCTTAGTCTACCGGAAAGACCTGATCAACATGGTTCAGGAAGAGCATCCTTCACATACAGGGCCGTGGGTCACTCATGACTCAGGTCACTTCTGCTCAGGCAAATGTGTCCTCCATGGACTGAACCCCACCCAGCCCGTTAGTTAAGACTCAAGAGTGTGGATGAGAGAAGATAAACCAGATCAGATGGGTTCTGTGATGGTTGTTCTTCTATAAGGTCAGATTGGCTGGCATTTCAGTGGCTTGGATAGAGGGAAATTGTGAGGATGGTGGAGGCAGGTTCATGTTTGAATTGGATCATTAAAAAGAAATGTCACCACAGATCTTCACCCTGACCATTTTGATGGAATTGATTGGTCATTTACACAGAACGTATTTATTGAACCATTGAGTTGACTGCAGATATGGTTGGTCGCTATACTCCTGGAGTTTTATAGCCCTACAGGGAGAGGGATAAGAGACAAATAGTACTCTTCAAAATTGATACATTGTGAGGAGTGCTATAATTGAAAAATGCCACAGTTCTGTGAGAACACACATACATGAAGCCTGAGGCCATCTGGGCAGGCACTGGGCAATGCTTTCTATCTCACTTTTTTTCCTCTGTTCCCCAAAATGACTTGATTATTCAATCCAAGCTTTGAGTCCTAAAGGTATTTGGTTTTTCCAGAGTGTATGTGATGGAATTGGCATGTCCTCTAAAGAAGAAGAGATGGGATCATTTTAAGCCCATATTAGGGTCATTTACTGAAGGGATGAGGATTCGGCTGGCCAAGGGCAAGGCCTTAGAGATGCAGGGTCCAAATTCTTCCCAGAGCAGGAGACTATAGATAAGTTTACTAACATTAAACTGAAACCTCTGTATTAGTCAGAGTTCTCCAGAAAAACAGAACCAATAAGATGTGTGTGAATTTATAACTCTATATAATATAGAGTTAATAATATATAATATATTAATTAATAATATAACATAAAATTATATATATTTTATGAATGTACATGGAGAGAAATTTACTTTGAAGAATTGGCTCATGCTATTATGGAGGCTGGCAAATCTGAAATCTGCAAGGTGGGATGTCAGGCTGGAGACCCGGTGAAGAGACTATGTTGGGGTTCAAGTCCAAAGGCTGTGTGCTTCAGAAGTCCCTCTTGCTGGAGAGAGGTCAGTCTTTATTCTGTTAAGGTCTTCAACAGGTTGGAGGAAGCCCACCCACATTAGGGGGGACAATCTGCTTTTCAAAGTCCACTGATTTAAATATTTATTTCATCCCAAAACACCCCTCAGAAGTACAGGGAATAATTTTTGGCCACGTATCTGTGCATCACGGCCCAGCCAAGTGAACACATAAAGATAAACATCACAACATGTTTCAAATAGTTTAAATTTTCTGCGAAGAGGGAAAAGTCAAGGTGCTCTGTAGTATTTGGAGAAAATTTCTTGGAGGAGACAGGTGTGGAGCTGAGCATGATTAGGATAGAAGGAGTAGAGGAGGAAAATAGTGAATACAGAATGTTGAGAAGGGGATGACTCCAGGAACTCATGTTCCAGTGTTTCCCAAGTCCAAGACACTTGCCATTGTAACCAGGAGATGATCATCATTGCTCTGACTCACCGTGAACCATAACCCTGGGGCAGGAGTGGGAGCGTGAGGGTTTATGGCCCCTGGAATGTTCTTTACTGTCCCAGTCCAGTCTCAGGAACCTTTAGAAGCTCTTTGTGAGTAGAATAATAATTAGTGAGAAACACTATTCATGGCTCAGTGCTCTCATATCTGCCAGTACTTGTAGAAAATCATGGCACTTAGAGTATATTCTAACTTGATTTGCCTATCTCATAACACACATTGGCGGGTTAATTTCTCAAGGGCAGAAACCTCACCTTATTTATCCCTGTGTGTCTTCAAAGCCCGGCACGATGTTCTATGTTTGCTATGTGATGGAATTGGCATGTCCTCTAAAGAAGAAGAGGGACTAGAAGGCAGGTGATAATCCTCCAAGCCCCAACACCTAGTCCCTTTGTGAAAACTAGATCGTTTCCCATTTCCCCAAGTGCAGCACTGAAAGCATTCCGCACTTCCCTCCCCTCCTCAACTCAACTCCCACCAGCTACAAATAGTATTGTGTAGATTCCTATTGAATCTCCCACCATTTTGTGGATCACTTTCTTCTCCCAGCCTTATAGCAGCAGGGGAATTCTCCCTTATTTAATGCTATAACACGCAGCAACCGTGTGTTTCAGCTTGTCAACTGAAAGGACTCTCGCAAATGGGTATATTTCCACAAACCTACACAATAGACCTAATTGCATGGGTTTGCAGTGTAAGCGGAGGTCGTTTGATTACTAGCTGCTTTGTACTATGAAAGTGCACATTAATTATTTAAGAGATGGACTTATAATTATTGTAAACCTTAAGTAATTACCTATAATTTTGGCAAGGGTTAGAAAAACTGATAGTCTAGCAAATTCAGGTTTTAGTCATTAGTGAGATCATAATTACATTTAAATTGCAAAATGAAAATTATGCAATTTATCTCCCTAATAATGCATAAACATTACAGTGATTGTAGGTTTTAATGGACTATAAAAACGAGAGCAGCAATGGGCAGTCAGGGGCAATTTCAGCCCCTTGCCATTATTTTATATGTTAACTGCTTCTTCCATACTGTTGCTCTGTCCACTCCTCCTTGGGTTAGCAATGGGGCTGTGGCTTTTCTTTCAACATGAAAGCAGTGAGCTCTCTGAAGGAGAGGAATAAAATAAGACTAAAGCAATAACTCCTGATAAACCCTAAATAACTCTAGCGTTTGCACCAGAGCAAAAGAAAGAAGGAACCTCATGTAGAGACGGTAAGAGAGTCTCAAAATACTTTCATACTGGAATTTTCACTTAACTGAGGTTATCATACCTATTTTACAGATGAGGAAACTAAGGTTCAGAGAGAGGATAAGCCCCTCTTGCCCTGGCACTGCTGGCACTAGACCAGCATCCTGATGCTCTCTCTATATGTGGCCGTCTCCACTTCGTCATGCTGTATTCAGGGTGGAGACCCATTCAGTAGCATGCAAGGCATTATACGGGTTGGTTTTGCCAGGCAAACACAGCCATGCTGTATTTAGGTATGAAATTCTGACATTTTCATAGGAGACCATCTGCCCAAAATCTTTTCTCCTCTGGGTGGCCAGCGTGTTGGCAAAATGAAGCTCAAATACCTCCTCCTCTGTGGAGCACTTCCTAGGGCAGAATTCAACACTCCTTTGTTTCCTCTTGGCCTGGCAAATGCCTCCATTGTGCATCAAATTCATAAACAAACTACAATCAAATGCAGTATCTCTCTAACTGGTCTCAGAGCCCTTAAAGAAAAGCGTCCTGGGTTATATATCTTTGGCAGGCAGTTTTATATATCTGTGGCAAGCTGAAGAAATGTTTATTAACTGAGTCAATCAATTAATCAAGCATTTATTACTTGTCTGCTGCTTATTATCTTACGTTAGCTGCAGTGAAGGGTATAAAGAAAGGTAATGGTGTCTACCTGCTCAAGAATTTTGCAATGCAGCAAAGAGCGACAAATAGCAGATGAAAAACGAAATGCCAATGCAAACATATTTATCATCACTGAACAAACTACACCACTGTTACAGTGTTTGCCGAGATAAGGTACGAATTTTCCCTCTGTTGGAATGCCAGAGGAGTTGACCACACACCTATCTGCCTTGCTTAATCAGGTTCAGTTTTACCTAGATGCAAGAAGATAAATATTTCCCATTGTCATCATCTAATTATGGGATGATGCCAACAATAAATATTGACTGAGCACCTAATCTGCGCCAGGCTCCATGCTGGGAAATAGGACACCAAAAAGAACAAACTTCAGCCTGTGCGTTCATCGAGAAGGCAGACTCGGGCAGTACAAACGTAAAGCAGAATGGGATGTATGTTCTTAATCAATGAAAGCTACAAGAGGGGGGCAAGGAGCATACTGAGGAGGTACAGAAGAGGGCATGAAATTATTAAAATAATTATTAATTATTAAAAATTATTAGTTATTAAAAATAATTTAAATGGTGGAGGCAGAGGGAATGTTTAAGGGAGACTTGGGTTTTGAGGGATATCCTGAAAGATAAGAAAGATTTCAATAGTCAGGGAAAAAGGGTTGGAATAGGCCATTCCAGGAGTAAGTAACAAAGTGTGCAAAAGCATGGGATATCTTTCATCTGCACCACTAACCTTTCATGCTATGGAATCTCGAGGATCTCTTAGGGCAGCAACTTCTATAGATAGCTGGTTCTTGTTAGTTTCCAGATCCTAGGTTGGTCCTATGTCCTGATCCTGTCCCAAAGTTGAGTGAGGAGTATTCTTTGGAGGCCCACCAGCAGCAGCATTCCATGACCTCATAATGGCTCATAATGGACCTCATAAGGGAGGTCCCCATGGGTAATGCTGCCCTGCAGAAACGATGTGTTTGCATACCTGTTTTGAGCAGGAACTGAAGAAAGAGGCTGTATGCCAATGGCTTTGCTGTGGGTAAAGTGCCTATTCCAGGAGCCTGAAACTCATGCTTAGAACATACTGTTGTTAGATGGAATTTGCTTGATTAGGAAACTTATCTACTTCTAGAACTCTCCTCCCGTGTCTTGGAGGACTCAGATGGATATACAACTCAAGAAAAAGCTAAATGAATATTTCTTCTCACGTGACAGTCCAGTGCTAGATCTTATGGGGACTGGCAAACCACTGATCACACAGTCTCTTCCCTTAGGAAACTTTATAATTAATGGAGGACAAGTGGTACAATCAGACAAGTACGTATGTAGCTTTATTATACAGGAGAATGAACTGCCGTAAGGAGTCCTGAGTGCAAAAGAGCGGAAGAGAGCGTGATCACTTCGCCTGGAAATATTGGCTGCCATTTTTAATTAACACTTTGGCATTTAACTGGGTCTTGAAAGAAAGGTAGGATTCTGTGAGTTAGAGGTGAGGGATGGATTCTCAGAGAGGAAACAGCAGCTACAGAGGCAGGCAAACAGAGGAAACAGCATCGAGCATATGTGTTCATTGAAATTATTTTGGTTGCAAGTGACTAAAAAGATCAACTTGCCATAGCTCAGGTAAAAATGGAAATTAACAGTAAGGCTCACAAAATTGTGGGACAGGCAGAAGTACAGCTGGTTGTAACGATAAATGGGACAAATGGCTTGAAAATCACCAGAACTCACTCTCCACCCCCTCTGATTCTCTCAGCTTGTCATTTTCATTCTTCTGGACTGTCTTTATCCTCCTGGTTGGAATCATGGCTCTACTTCTTCTGTTAGCCCACCTTCCAAGTGTGCTACCAAGCAGAAACTCAGACTCTGGTTCAAGTTCTAAAATCCTATGCTGGTGCCTAGCTTAGGTCAGCTGCCCAACCCTGTACCAACTACAGAGAGGGTGGACCTTGTAAAAACATAAAGTTGGAAAGAATATGGATGTCACTTCTCAAACCACATATTTGGACTTGGGAAGGAGCATTTGTGAGAAGAAGTTGAGGGAGGGGGTAAAAATAAAAAGTGTATTTCCCTGGGTGAAATAAGAAGAGTGTAGGCTGATGAAATGAAAGATGCCTCAAAATACAAAGTATAAGTTATGGAAGAGGTGGTTGGAAAGATTCATCAGAGTCAGATTATGGAGCTCATTGCATGCTGACCTAGGATGTATAATCTTTGTGCTCGAGATAATATTTAGCACCAGTGGGTTTTGAGTAGATGATTTTCATCATATCACTTTCCCTGGCTTTTTACCAGCTCTCCATTAAATCCAGTCACTATGGATTCAAATAAAGGAGACCTATTAGATAGAAATAAAGGTTGAGATTTTATCACAAACAATGACCAGGCAGATAAACTGGGTAGGATAGAGGGAATAATATAAAGCATTCACTTTGAAAGTATTTTACTTACACAATAATGGCTAGTTTTAATTGAGAGCGCCGATGTGGGGAAGGCATAGAAGAGGCTGAGATAGTATTGTTTCACAGCTTCTGCTTCCCTGAAATATACTGCTGGTCTCCTGACCCCACAGAGGGGGCTCCTCAGACCTGTCTTGGCAGATCAGAGCTTCCAAACCTGTATATTAACTCAGCCAACAGCCAAGCTCTAGTTCTCTTTTAATAAATATGCCTGCGGTGAAGAGCGTGAAAAATGGTGAGTCCACAGGGACTTTCATTGTAGCTCTTTGCTGGAGAATGCACACCAGCTCTTCTCCTTCCCGAGAACATCCTGCTTCCCCTAGCGTTAGTGCTGGAGAGGGCTTTGTGGAACTTCCTGTCATGTTGCCACCTAAACTGCCTTATGTAAAGGGAGAGAATTATTTGTACCACCTGCCAGTGACCAAGGGTTTCCAAACTTTGTTCTGCCTGTCTCCCATTCATTTACTTTGAGTTGAATATCCTTACTAGGGGAACAAAAGACCTTGGTTCTTGAATTGAGGAGTGGCTTCATTTACTGCCTAGAATGGAGTTTCTTACATATGGGGGAAGAGCAACAAACCTAGCTCTGAAATGCTGACTCATCAAGAAATGATGACAGCTGGATGGAGTCAGGAGTTTGATAGCAAGAAATGAGCTAGGAAAAGTCCCAGTTACTCTTGCTTCCTTGTCAAAGCCTTCAAACAACTACTGGCTTGAGATATTCTGGCTGGAGAGTGAATCGTCTCCATTCCTGTCGCCGTGAAGGCTGTGTCTTATTTCTGGGCAGGGATTGGTCTAGAATTGCTGAGACATGAGCTCTGCACATGATCTTCAAGTGCTGCCGATGTGTACATCAATGAAATGTGAGTACATTGAGTGCCACTCAACACTGAACAGATCAGATTTCGTCTGCACATATCTGAAAAGCTTCAAGTATGTGTGAGGCAGAGGTGGCCACTCAGGGTCAGTGGGGAGGAGAAGCAGCCAAGAGTGATCACTAGGCTGTAGGCAGAAGGCCCAGAGACAGCACCAGTGTCAGAAATTTGCCCCAGAGGTTGAGACATGGTGTTTAAAGGTGATCAGAGGCTCACATATTGTTGAGCAGACACTGGTACCAGCAGCATCTTTACCAGCTTCAGCGAGACGGGGGCATGGTGCGCGCGAGTGGTTGGGTGGACTTGGGCCAGATTAGGTGAGTTCTCTCCATTCAGAGAAGGATCCAGTGAGCTTCCAGGAAGAGACCAGGATTAAGCACTGCAAAGACTACAAAAGCTGCAGAACTATGGAGATCTCATTTCGGTGGGCTGGCATTCCAGGAAGGGCTTGGAACCCTGAAAAAGATTGGGGCATGAGGCAGGGGTTTGGGGTACTTTTGCTGTAAACATCTTTGCCACAAGCATTTTCACCACATCACTAATCGGCTGTAAGGTAATTTTGCTGTAAAAGATAAAATAACTGGTTGACAGTTTGGTTTCAACTGGTTGACAGTTTGATTTCATTTCTCCATTGACACATACTCCTGCCTTTGTATTCTATGTCTTAGTTCCACATTTCCTGTAGAACTTTGAAACGTCTATCAACAGACACACGATAGTATGCCAAGAACAGCAGCAGTGGCGAGGGCTTCACAATGCAACGCAAAGCACAGTCGCAAACATGCGTCCTAGCATTTGGAAACTGATATCTCTCTTAATGAAGGAAGAAATTTTAGCAAAAAAGAAAAAGTGTGATGGATGCCAAATGAGGAGACTAATCCACACACGAAAGAACTACCGAAAAGTATAAAACTATGAACAAAAGACTTCAAAGGCAAGTGCTTGGGTGCAACCTACCAAATAAAATCAGTTATTTGTGCAGTATTGTCATGAGTCTACACACTTTTTAAACATATTCAAACATTTTGTACTTCACAATAAAATCTTTTTAATTTTGTTATCCATTTTTCATGTTTCATTATGTTCTTTTTAATGTCCCTCTTTTATTTTTTGTTATTTTATCTTTTATGGAGAAACTGCCTTACAGCCAATTAGTTATTTAGTGAAAATGTTTGTGGCAAAAATACTTGTGGCAAAGATGTGAAGAGCAAAGATACTCAGAGCGAAAATACTGGATCTACTGAGGCAAGGACAGCGAGGAGAAGAGTGGGATTCCAGCTGAGGCTGGTGCTTGGCTGCTAGTGCCGGGCAGGCCAGGTGTGCCAGAAGAGCTCTGACTTCTAGGCGGCACAGGTGTCAGGGCTCACCCCATCCTAGGTCAGTGGGAACCTGGCTTGAGCAGACCTATGCCTACCTTGGCTCCCCTGTGGGATCCCTCAATATCCAGGCAGTAGGGGCTGAGGAAGACCACCAGGGGGGAGCGCCTTTGGGCCTGACCCTCTCACGGAGACATTTTCTACTTAGATCCAGAAGGCTGGTAATGGTAACTGAAGAGTCTCCTGACTGACCTCCAGAATTTCCCTGGAAAGGATCTTCATCTGTCAGGGGTGCTGTGGAAGGATTCTTCATGACCTAGAATGTCACTTCCAAGTCCAAGATAAGTGTTTTTTTATTATTCCATTCTACAGAGCGGAGACCTATGGTATGTAATTAAAATAGCTTGTTGTTTTATTTGATTATAAATATAATACATGGTCAGCATAGAACACAGAGAAAAGTGTTCATAAAAATAAGCAGTATTTTATTAAGATGACCACTATCTCTGAAGGATAAATAGCTAAAATTTGTGAATGAAATAAGACAAATCTCAGAGTTCTTTGTCCCCAGGATTTTGGTGCTCTGTTTGACCATCTGCATGGGGATGGACAGGGATAATCTTTCCATGAACAAATGCAAGGCAGGCAAGCAAAGGCGTGGCAGATATAAAACAGGAGACAACCAAAAACCCTCTTCTTTTTGATTTTTACATGCATTTTCATACTTCCATTTGAGCAGAGACTCGTCTGGTATATTTGAAAATTCACTTCAAAGGAAATAATAAAATCTTGGTGCAAGAGAAATTGAAGTGCTTTCCAATTTCCCAACTTCAATAAAATGCTCCCTAGTGTTACTCTGAAAGTCACTCTGGATGGGAAATTGACAGCAATGGTTCATTTCCAAGGTGGTGACGGAGGGGACAGTGAGGGTGGCACTGAGCTAGGGCCAATATAGCACCGGGACTGGGAGAACCTGGTCTCTCAGCAGTGAGTGCCAAGATTCCAAAGCTCTCTGTGCAAAGATCATGGCTAATTGTGGCTAAGAGGCAGTTTTGGAGTATCTGAGCAGAGGGTGTGTGGCATCTGAAGCTTCTGGCAGCATCATACTTCCCTTTGGAGGGCTGTCGAAATCATAGACCCAGGAGAGCCACTCAGATGGAGACAATGGGTGTTTTTTGACTCTCTGAGCAGTTAAATGGGTCCAGATTATTCATGTGACTCAGTGCAGAGAAGAGCACCAAGACCGGTCAGGAGCAGCATCACCCTCCTTCTGGCGCTGGCATGTATTCTCATTAACCTCCCATGAACCCATTGTCCTGGACATCTCTTAACTCCTTCTCCCCAAATCTCTAAGCCCTTAGGTCATTCTTTGGCTCCTGATACCCACCTCAGGCTTCCTTTGCTTTCGTGATAGTCTGGATTTCTCAGATGGCAGGGTATTCGTCTGGCCAGCCTGACTCTTTTCTGGCAAACACTTTTGGCTCCACATCTCCATTCACCCTGACCCTGTGCGACCCTTCCAGGAAAGTGAATTCCGATAAAGGACAGCAGTCAGGGTCTAATCCTATGTTGGTCGGATGGAAAAGTTTTATTGGAGCTAGGAAAAAAGGACAAGACCCACACAGTTCACTAGATCGGGCTCAGAGGTGAGAGCTATGTCCACTGGGGAAATAAAAGGTAAGTCAGATTCAGGGTGAAAAGAGAGCCAGACAAATGCTCCAGACACAGACCATGCTTGGTATGTTTCAGAATGAGTCTCACTCATGTGTCACAGTCCTCATTTTCAAGATGCAGGTTGAGAGGCTGGTCTAATGTCCCCAAAGCTGGAAGTTGCAGACCTGGAACGTGGGCCCAGGCATTATCATTATCCTTGTTACACAGAAGAGAGACCTGAGGTCCATAAGTTGGAAAAGGTTGCTCCCCAGAAAGAAGCAGGAGGAAGGTGGAATGGGTGCCAAAAGACCAGAAGCTAACCATTGTCCACTGCAATGCAGCATCTATAGCCACCCTGCTTCCCTTATGCGTATTCTCCAAACACCTTCACTTCACATAATTCAATGTTCTGGGTACAACTGACAACACTCTCACTTCTTTACCAAAAAGGAGCATATGACACTCCTGTCAATCACGCCTGCAGCTCCACGTCCAGAATCTCTGCTTGGTGTTTCCTTCACCGCCACTTCTGTGTGAGCCCATCTAGATATTCGACAGTCTGTGAGGCAGATGGTTAATTTAACTATCACCCTCCCAGCCTACACACTACGTGAGGCAAAAAGAGGAGGAAAGTGGAGGGAAATTAATAAGATACAACAATGCAGTTTGAGATTGGCCACGCGCCTTGTTTATATCCATTTGACCCTCTCTATCTCCACTTGTATGCCTGTGTGCCACTTTTATGTCTAAAGTGAGTCTTGACCTCCCCCTAAAACCTGTGCAGTCTTCCCACCTCTGGGCCTAGGCCAGAAACCTTGGGGACCCCCTTGACCCCTCTCTTTTTCATATTATGTCAAAGCTATCAGCAGGTCTCATCGGTTTCACTTTCAAAGTCCATCTAGAATCCAAACACTCTGCACCTTTTCTGTGAAAACCCTGATGCAAACACATCAACTTTTGCTAAGATTGTTGTCATGACCTCCTACCTCCTCTGCCTGCTCCTAGTCTTGCCTACTATAGTCTATTCTCAACACAGCAGCTAGAGCAAACTGTGAAAAGGTTGTCAGATCATTAAACAGCATCCTGCCCTAACCCCCAGTGGCCTCCAGTACTCTGCAGCTGGAAACTAAATTCCTCATCATGCCTGCAGGGTATGCCTGATCAGGTGCCTGTGACTCCCTGATGGTGACCCCAGCCCTCTCGCTTACTCTACTCCAGCAGCCCTGGCCTCTTCACACGCCTGGCTTGTCCCCACCACACCATGTGTGCGTACATTATCCCTTCTACTTGGAGATATCCATGGGGCTTGCTCCCTGGCAAATGCTTCTTGTCCTTATTCAAATGCCAGCTTCTCAAAGAGGCCTGCTCTGACCACATAGTTTAAACCCTCTTCCAAGCCCAAATTCTCTTTCTCTGCCTTTATTTCCCCCCATATTTCTTATTGTCTTCAGCATAATATGTTTTACTTTTATATGGTTTATTATCTGCATAAGCTCCACGAAGAAAAGGAATTTTGCCTGTTCTATTCATCACTCGCCCCTTGGACCAGACAGTGCTTGGCACATAGGAGGTGCTCAATAAATATTTGTTGAATGAATGAATGAACGAATGAATGGATGTGTGCTTGAATTGCTTACAGGGCCGTAGCTGGTATTCCACCAGTCTGTAATGCTTCCCTCTTCCAGTGCCCATTCTACTTTCTCTCACCTTTTCCCAGCACTTCAGCCAATGGAGAGCTCTCGGGAAGGTTAGCGTGACCTGAATCTGGTGTACCTGCCTGTGCAGAGCTGCTGCCGTCTTCCATTACCTTTATTGCAGGTCAGAGTGCTAAGACTTTCCCTGGGATCCCCTGAGTTTTGTCTGTACTTTTCCTATTCCCCACTGTGTAATAGCAGCCCGATTTCCCCCTTAATACTCCAGTCAATCATCCCAGCCAGCACGGTAACCATTTTCCTCCCAGTGAAATGAATAGCAGGAAATACGTGGGTGGCAGTCTCAGCTTCCAATTCCAAT